CCTAAAAACCTACTTCCCCCCCCCCCCCCCTCCCCCAGTGTAATAAAAACATAAGATACCCAAGGTATATGCAAAATAAATACTTTATTATATTTAGAAATCAGCCCTTGTGTATGGAGTAACACAAACATTATATCGGTTTCAGACTTTCTGCAACATTTATATCCACAAATATTGTTCAAATTACAGCTCAAACAAACCAAAAAATAATAAAAAAAAAAAGGAAATTGGGTTTATCTCTGCTCCAATCCCTCTGCCTAGACACACTTGTTCCATTTATCTCCAACATACATACCTTCATTTCTACAAACAGATGGTGTGTGGGGTGTAGTATTTCTAGGGAGGCTCATAGAATGCAAAGTACATTTTGTATAATTCGTACTTCACATTGAAAACACATGATACAATGGGAATAGAAGAAAAGGTATAGTGTTAAAAAATATGGCACATCAATAAAGGTTATGAGTTAAATAAGAATTCATCCCTACACAATGAAAAAGCTCTTCTGGTGGTAAAAGTCATGGGCCTAAGTTTTCAACTTCCATTTTGTCTCTACTCTCCAATATGCAAAAACAGCCGTCATGATCCTGCCCCAAGATTCCTTCATTCACTATAACTCATGGATTGTATAGTAAAAGGGTGAAAGCAGGATGAAGGCTGAGGACCCAACACAGTAGGACAAGCACCAACAAGGGAGAGAAAGCAAAACAGCTGAGGTACGTAAAAGCTTCCTAAATGCTTTTACTCACTTAATCCTGACAAATACTAACAGTTTGGTGTAAGGTGGCCTTCTTGAAAACACAAATAAAATACTTCAACAATTCCATGTATAAAGATATCCACTTTCAGTGTAAGAACTATAAAAGTAGTTTTTGGGGAAAACTATGAACTCTGCCATGCAAGTGACAAACTTTAGCTACAGCAACTCTTTGGAAGCTTACATTGTACTTGTCGTCTGCACGCTTTGTGCCTAGTGCCTCAGTAATATCACTAGTTCCTAGTGAATGGATTCTATCATATAGTGGTTTGGCCCATACAATGGCTACCTCACTCATGTGCAGAGGACCAGTATATTTTCTAAAGTGACTCTATAACAGCAGAAACTAGGAAGTTTGTTAGAAGTTCAGAGTGAATCACTTATTGCACAGTCTATACCTCATGGAGGTCAGTGTATAAGCAAAGAGATAGACTTTAATATTGGCTGTTTAACCGTATTACTCTGCACAATAGCTCCCTCTAAAAACAAAAAAATTAAAAAAGGGGAAGTTTTCAAGTCTCAAAAAATGATACAATGGGATTAGAATTAATACAGTAAAATAAATATTGATTGAAACCTCCACAGCCCTCTTATTGGCAGAAAGCTAAGCAAAGTGCCCAAATTACACACAAGAACGGTCAATGAAAAGACAAAAAACAGTAGATCGTTTCAGCAGCAAAATAAAGTCCTCCTGGATTCTTAGGCTTGACATAATGAATATATGCAGCTAAAGTCTTGATACGAATTGCCAAGAGTTCATCCAATTCTTGGGGACTCCAGTATACATCTGTGGATGAAAGGAGAAACATATGAACATATAATATGGAAAATACATTTAAAACTGAACTCTCGTGAGATAAAAAGGCACAAATGATTGCAGCTCTGTATTCATTAATAAATCCTAAAATGTATTTTTTTAAATAAAGCAAACTGTGTAGGCACCTGAATTTGACTTCTTGTGTCTTGCAGTCCACTGTGCAGCAGAGCTCAGGCAGGGGGAGTAGCAGCACTATCTAGTCACAGGCAGGGGGGGGTGGGGAAAAGATCTCCAAGTGTTACTGAACTGCAGCAAAGAAAATCTAGGTCTCTTGCTCTGTCATACTATGGAGAATTTAATAAGACATTTGCAACAATGGCTTTGTCTATATAGTTGGAAACCATGTGCCAAATTCATGAAACCCATTGTTGGTACCGAGTGTAACCTATTTAGGGCAGACTTATTTGAGGCACTTTTACTATCTGTTGCTAATGTTACAACACATCCATAAAGAGACACCGCCATATTCCTAAAGAGATACCTCCACATGGGTGATAAGGAAAGTGGAGGTAAATAAGCACTCTTCTATTTTGGAGTAAATTGTGTGACATATTTGTGATGGATTCATATAGAAGTCATACTGGGCTGGCCAATCAAAATGGTCAAAGACGCTTAACCCAGAAGAAGACTGGGCAAAGATGAAAGTGCCTTTGGGAGAGCTTGCATTGCTGGAGGCCAAGTTCCACTTTAAAGAACCCCGGCAAAATTACAAAAGTTACCCTTGCAGTGGGTAACTTGCAGCTACCCCAGCATTGCAAGAGTTGGGTGTTCATTTTCTCTAGGAGGCTCAAATAAAGCAGTTTTACTCACCTGATCCATGGTCCTGCAGCAGTTGGTACTCCTCTTTCCTCCCCTCCAGCTATGGAATGTGTCTCATGTCTAATACAAGTCAATGGACCTGTATAGACTATCGGAGCCCAGTTGAGAATAGGCTAATGGAACCAGTCTAACAGCCCAGAAGAAGCTGGCGGGACTGAGGATCAGGTAAGTAAATCTGCTTTATTTGAGTCCCCTAGACAAAACAAGCACCTAACCCTTGCAATGTGGGGGTAGCCCTACTGCAAGGGTAAGTTTGTCATTTAACCTGAGTTTTTCTTTAAGTCTCAAGAGAAAAAGAGGAAGAGGAGATAACTAAAACATTAAAATGCACAACATGACCGCTTACCTTAAATTCTCCCATCTGTTTTTCCATCCAATGAGCGAATAGGAGAAGATACTGCTGCTAGAAGTCCACTTACGATCTCTCGTCTGATGTCCCCAACAATAGATTCTTTGATCTAGGAGAAATTTAAAGGAAATTTAGTAGTGCATATTTTCTTTAATGTGGTAATAAAAAAAGAAGGTTGGGGAAATACAAAAGTTTGCATATTATTTAGTCCTCTATCTCGATGAGTCATCAGGGAAACAATCTCTATAATGTTCTAGTGTACATCATTAACATGTGGTGCCTCCCGTGCTGGGTGAGGCATTCCCCAGCCCCAACCCCAGCATGCCTCACCCCAAGCACGCTGGAACTCGGCACCCATCTCGGTAACCAAGCTATGTGTGGAGGGATGGAGGAGGAAGGGAGGAGAAAGGGAGGAGCCTCCCTGTCCCTCACTTGCTTGTCACTGGCGAGTCATTGAGATCGATAGTGTTAGTGTTTTTTTTGTTTTTTTTTATTGGACAGCTTGGACATCCACAGAGCTCACGCCTCTAACACAAAGTAGAGGCTGTGACAGCTCTTGCCTCACTGTTAAGTTACACAAGCAGTGGGGAAGCCCTTAGTTGGCTGTCAAAAGCCGGATGCAGCACTGCCTGTAATTAACAGGCAGCGCTCTAACCATGACAGGTTACACAGCGGGGAGGCTTTCTCTGCTGTGTTACCTGTAAGAAGCCGATGTGAATGGAGAAAAAGCTGTCAGCTTCAGACTTGAAGCCAACAGATTTTTTTCCTCCATAATACTAGGAGAGGCTTTGCCTCACCTGCCTCCCCTGACCACACGTCCCTGGTTAATATGTTATACTTCATAATTAGCTGATAAATTATATTTTTAGTCCTGACCTCAAGAAAATATCACTATACTTTCTCTTAAAAAGGTGAAACGTTTAACTACTCATTTTCTGATAATGATGGTCTCCGACTTTTAAAACAGTCCCCTTTTGTATGCCAGGTATTAGAATAGTCTAGCTGTAAAAGTGCTTATACACTGCTAGCTATGTATAATGTACAGTATACATTCTTAGCTCCTTCTAGGCATCTATAACAAGCCAGGAATGACCAGATGTCAGAGACAGTAACTCCTGTGCGCAGCCCAACTGCCAAAGAGAGCTGCAGTGGGACCTGAAAAATCAGCAGTGAAGGGGACGGTGGTGGGGGACGCAGTAGTGACAGGTGCCTTGACCCATCGTTGCTGGAGGACAGAAGGAGATAGGTGTGTGCCATAAGCTACAAATAAGGTAGCAGATAATGGCAAAATTCACCCCCCTAACAAAGTCTACTTCCACTTTAATGCTGATTTCCAGACAACTATAAAAACTGTTTTGCAGACAAAATTGGACTAACACCTACCTTACAATTGTTACATGATCCCATTCTCATTGCATAACTTAAAACATTTTTACAAACTGTAGCTTACACTTTGTGATTTTCTGCAAACTTCAGGACTGAAAAATCCTGCTTAGCTCTCACTGACTGGGGGGGATGAGAGCAGTTTTGTTTAAAATAATTAACCCTGTCTGTACTGAGCTGGCAGATTTCTAATCACTTGTAAACTAGAGAAGTCTGCCTAACAAAGGGCTAAACAAAGACATTGTACGGTAGTGCACTTTTTAAAAAAACTGTCCCTCTTATTAGCTCACAGGCATCTATTCTAACCATTAGAAGCTGCCTGTACATTCCGATGTGTAATCCGGACAAAAAAAATCAGCTAAAAACGGTAAGTTTTTTAAAATTATTCTTTTTAGGTATGCTGTGGGAACACAAACATAGTGGGGGGATTCTCAAATTTGGCTGCAAAAGTGGAAATACACTTTAAATCTGATATGGCTATGCTCGAGACAACAAGAGAAAAATTGGATATTTACTCTCGGAGTGGAGTGTACAAAATCACACAGACCATTTAAAAAATAGGATTTTGGTACTCACCGTAAAATCCTTTTCTCTCCGTTCATTGAAGGACACAGGGAACAGATCGGAGATCATGTACTGTAGAGTAATATCGCCACCTGCAGGAGAAGGACGCTAGGCACAAAAAAACTAAAGACCAATCACAGCCTAGGGGCGGCCCCTGCCGGTGGCCAAATCCCCCACCTGCTGACAAGTCTCCAGTTTAGTAACAAGCAGTAAAGGAGTACACACCCACATAGAGGGGCGGGCCCTGTGTCCTTCAATGAACGGAGAGAAAAGGATTTTACGGTGAGTACCAAAATCCTATTTTCTCTCCCGTTCATTGAAGGACACAGGGAACAGATCGGAGATCATGTACTGTAGGGACGTCACAGAGCAGTACCAAAAAAGAGAGAGGGATCCCGAAAGGAAGGCGAACCCTCCACCGGGATGACCGTAGCCTTGTTCAGGCGAGAAACCGGCGGAGTAGACCACTTAGTCAGGAAGGACTCCTCAAAAGGATCGCGAACCAAGAAGCGTTTGGGAACGGTAAACGACTTGCTCGGGCGCTTCCACTCCTTGTAGACAAAATCATCAAAAAAAGGAACGTAAGGGAAAACCTTAGTAGAACGCCTACTCCTGTGCGTCCCAAAAGGAACCGGCGGGAGCGCTGAAGAGCTCGGAGTCTCTTCAATTTTCAGCGTTTCCCGCACAGCGCGAACAAAGGCCGTGACCAATTCACGCTCCTGGACCATAAGGGTGGTCCCAGACTCGTCGTCACTACCAGACTCCGTCTGAGAGGAGTCCCCCTGGTCGTGCTACGCGGCCGCAGCAGAAATGTCCCCCTCTTCCTCAGAATCCCCAGAAAGGACCGAGGAGGGGGCCGGCAAAGCGCGCTTCCGTGGGGGGCGCTGCGTCAGCGCGCGCTCCATACGGGACACAAATGGTGGAGGAAAAAGCCTCCAAGGATAACAGTGCGCCAGCGGACCCCCCCAAAGACCCCGCAGACACCAAGGGAGACTGGGAGAGGGGCGCAGAAG